ATTAAGGATAGTAATTGTTCTCTAATGTCTCACTTTGGAGCGATTTCCACCTACTTCTATTGTATTTCCAGGACAGGGATTGAAATTAAATAATCACAACGGAACCCAGACCAGAAAAAATAAAAACATGACAGAGGTCATCTATTGCTACTCTTTACAATGCTAACATAAAGGGCTATAGAAAGTAAAGTTTGTGTTTGATTGACATACCCATTACCTAAATTACTTGCTGTACTTTTTACCCTTAAAGTACATGCAATCCCTAACTTATTGCCATTTAGATTGGTAAAGCACTGTCTGTCATAAACAAATGGCTTTAAAAAAAAATGAAATACTGTTTTCAAGTTTCACATTTTTTATCCTTTGTTACATCTACGTTTTACTGATCACCTGCGGCCTCTGTGTAGCCACTTCCTGTCTACATGCATGCACTCCAGCAACTGCAGCACACCATTTCCGATGTCAGAGTAAACCTTTCCGGGAGAAAATATTTATCTCCCGGTCGGCCGGGAGCCACTATCTAATAGCAGGAGACTCCCGGGGCGTCCGGGAGAGTTGGGATGTCTGTGACAGCAGTAGAACATACCTGTGCATCGGCATGTTCGCTTGTAGTCTCCATTTAGGGAGGATGTTAGATCGACAACGCAGAAGAACACTTGGGAAACAAGGACAGAGCATTGTCGCCTTATAACAGGAAATTTCTGCACAAGGACCATCATAACAGAATCACCAAGTATTATTTTAATAAAAACTGCAGCTTTAAAATAGTGAAAATCACTTTTCTAATTGCTTTAACATGTAAAATCCTATTTGAGACACTGGTGATTGAGTTTGCACATACAGGCAGTCCCCGGGTTACGAACAAGATAGGGACTGTAGGTTTGTTCTAAAGTTGAATTTGTATGCAAGTTGGAACAGGTACATTTTTTAAGTGCAACTCCAGCCCCAAAAAATGTTTTTAGTTTTGGATAGCATAGGGAAGGGTTAACCCCCTGTAAAGTTTGTTTTGCTGTGTGTGTCCCTGTTCAGAATTCTTCACCTCACATTCTGTCCCTGTGACAATTGGATTTTGAAAACTTGGTGCTGTCCTGGAAACAAAGATTGGTGATGAAGCTTCAGTGGAGACACCTTTTTCCCCATGATAACTCTTACAGGAGTGAATTTCCCTTCCTATGGGTAGATTTCCTCTCACTTCCTGTTGTCTCAAGGACAGGAAGTGAGATTAAATCTTTCTAATGAGGATACAGACAGCAATAAAAACCTCACAGTGACCCGGCAGAAGAGGTGGGCATCCCTTGTCTGCTCGTCTAACAAGAGCCAACTTCCTGTAATGTACGTACAGTACTACGAACCAGACCCAAATAGGTGGGCAATCCTCGTCGGCACGAGTGCGGTAGCATTACAACTACTGAAATGCTGCGCGGTACACTTTGGCTGCCACCTGGGACCCCCCGCTGTACAGTAATAGCCTCCGTTTGTAAGTAGGAGTCGTATGTAAGTCAGATGTTTGTAACTCGAGGACTGTGCAGAATAATATGTATCTAACCATATATTTGTACTACGTTTTCCTTTTATAGCTTCACTGATAAGTGTCCAAGTGATATAGTCACAATAATTGGTGACATCACTACTTTCCAATTATAAAATTACTATTGAGGTTATCTTGGAGTAAACATTACTTGTGGTTTCTATGGTATCACCAGCCCTGTCCTTTATGTTAAGTGTGATATTACTACCATATTAGTTTCTTCTGACATACAGCAAGCCTCACCTTCTATTACCCTTTAGTTCTGGGTGCAGCAAATATTGTCATTATTGTATGGATCATTAAGTGTGTGTGTGTGTATATGTGTATGTATTGTCATGGGAAACTGCTCCAGATTCTCTCTGCTCCAGTTTTGATAAATTCCCCCCCATTGTGTCTGATGTTTCGATGGGGCTTAGCATATCCTTCCAAAGCTCTTGAAATAGATGGCCTAGGTCCCATTGAAATGTCAGACATAATAAATGTTTGCTGATTGCCTTAGAATTTTCTACTGCAAGCCTTGTGAGCACCTTAACTTTCTAGTCTGCTTCCAAAGCAGCTCTGAGTGCAGACTGCACAAGCTCGTTCTCATTCTACAGTCTTCTAAAAAACAATAAATGGTTGCAACATCAGCTCCACCGCTCAGAGTTAAACTTTGTTTGAAGCACAAGTCCATTTTATCCCCATCTAAGCAACACCCTCTAATGTGTATCACCCGCTACGCTTAATTGTAGAGATTGTTACTTTTAGTTTTCTACTGATTGACTGCAATGCACGAGAGGTGTGCAGTGACTAAACAAACTCAGTACTCCAAGGTCTCGTTCACACCTAGGCGTATTGCATATGCGCGTCTGTCGCACGTTTTTTACCGCGATTCGCGGTAAAAAAGTCACGTGACCGTCGCGCGTTTCCGAAGGCTACTTGGCTGTATCCCAATGGAAACGCGCAACAAAACAGCCCAAAGTAGTACCTGTACCTTTTCAGGCGTGGGCCGTTTTGTAGCGCGTTAGGGACGGGCGGAAATACGCTAAGGTGGGAACGAGACCATTGAATACAATGGGATTTATATTTTATATTTTTGAGCGTTTTGTAGAGCGTTTTGTAGAGCGTTCGTCGAGCATAGAACGCGCTACAAAACGTTCAGGTGTGAACGAGGGCTAAAGATAATGGATTACCGTAGCTGTATTTTGGCTGTTGTGCTAATCAGGTAAGTTTCTTACCTGAAACAAGTATCCAGATCAGGGCTTTTGACCTCGCTTAGCCTCATTAAAAATATTGTAGAAGGAAGTAATTTAGTAATGTGCCAGCGTTGACCTGAGTGGGAAAAAGTATTTCTCTATGAAACAAGTTGAGCTTGTACTTCAGTTGAGGGCTGGCTGCTTGTGGCCCAGCAGACAATTGAGTGGTGGGTGGCTTAGCACCAAATACAGGTTTGTAATAAGATGGTATGACAATTTGTAGTTCTGATGCTTCTGCAGATTTCACCCCCCTGCAGAATAATCATGCTTGTGACTATATCCACTCCTGCAAAAGAAGGCAAGGCATTTGCTTTCCTGCCTGGCCTCTCCTGGCTTTTTTCTTCTGGTGGGCCACTTGTTTTTGCTGTGAATAGAACCTGGCATTAACTTATCATTCTCTGTGACAGAGTTGGGGCTTGTTTTGCTAATGAGATATCACTATGTTCTTTTTTTTTTTATGGTGCTAGATTCATGCAAACATTTGACAAAAGAAAACTTGTAACATTGTGAAGTTTCTTAACAATTGGCAGCAATTTATTCTACAAATCAATAAGAAATGGCTTTTAAAACAGGTGATATTTTGTCCTAGATAAGATTATTGAGTTCCGGACGTTTTGTGTCAAGGTTCACATATCTTGCTGTCATGGACACTGATAAGGACTCGTTCTGACCTTACAATGTGTTTTATAAAGTCTTTTAAGATTTTTTTTAATTATTTTTTTGCCAAAAGGTCAACAGAGCACTAATGTGAATAAACGTTGACATGAGAGTGATTGAGGTGCTCTACTTTATCCCAACCCAGTTTATAATTATTACGTAGCTAAGTTAAGTTGGGAACCCAAATTATTCTATATGTAGTAAAGCCTCTTCGCGTGTCTTTACAAAACATATATTATCTGTTGTGTGTTTTATAGGCAAACATTCATATCCTGGCAATTCTTCTCAGCTTTCCTGTTCATGATAGACATTTAAGAAACAAAATATGTGTGTAGAATTGCGGTGAAAAGTAGGTTGAAGCGCTCTTTCAAGTTTTTCCATGTAAAATACTGCTAGACAGTCCCACCTTGATTATAGCTTCCAGTTGAGTCACTGGGGCAGATATTTTAAAAATCTTATCCTGTTAGTAGATGTGTTCCTCCCTGACCAGGCCAGGAGCTATTGCTATACTTTTGGAGAGGGATTCCATGTTGTATGTATGTACAGATCTGCCATTCTCTGCACCTAATTATTCACAGTCCTAAATGTGTCACTGTTATAAGCTTTGGTGAGCACCAGGTGGTCCATAAGGTAACCATTGTGTGTAGCAAAGAGGCTATGTTTTGATTACTGATGTAGCTGGAACTACTTCTGTGGTAATAGGTTAAATGATACACACACATACATTTATAGACCCATAACTGTCATTTATAGTATCTCCAACTGAACAAGAAGTGTTCCAAATATGCTTACTGCATCAATGGCCAAATTTAAATCATGGACTAATGAGTCACTTATGCAGTAACCCAGAGTAGCCAATAATGTCTACTTTCAGCAGTACATATAACACTAGACTTCTAAAGTTAACATATTTGTTCATATGGGTTGCTGCACATCAATGTTTTTTGCCTGTTATATATACACTCCATTGTAGATTCAAATACTTTAATGTGAATAGGGAGTTCTCTTCACTTTTTCAGCCATTGTTTGTTTAGTGAACCAGTCCAACACACTTCTATACGTAATTGTATAAGTAATCTATTAATCGGAAAGCCTCTTCTTTGTCTGTTTCTAAAGCAAGTAGGGAAATCTTAAACACACCTACTGTAAGCTCTCAGCTACAGAAACACTTCAACATCAATCAGGTTCAAACTGCCCTTGGAGTTTAAAATTGATTGGTGATACCACATGCATACAGCACCACAGATCCTTCGGGGGGCCCTCCTACAGAACATGATTTAGAGCTTTGTGAAATCTGGCTGCCGATGATGCAGAGAACTATATAGGATTAATAATTTATTGATTAGTTTCACTTGTAGCCTGGAATTGCCCTGTAACCCCAAACCCTATTTCTGTTGTTGATCCACCATTTTGCTTTTGCACTATGTGTGACTGATTTCAAATAATCAGCTCCTGAGACTGTGACCAAGTTTGTCTATTCTCTGAGCTTTGAAATGAATAACCTATTTTTTTTGCTAATTAGCAACACATCTGCTGCACTATATTAATCAAATCTCTTCCATATTGTGTTTATTTTACAGAGCAAATCATCTAGAAAAGGCTTTATTCGAACGCGGTGGTGTATTACAGACTGGTACGTTGCGTAAGATCTATGGCACACAGATATTGTCATAAAACAAAGGCATTTTTTATGATTGAGAACCTGCCTTAGTTCTGAGAAATTTAAATCAAAGCCAGATCTCATTGCGGATGAATAGTTCAAGGAAGGTAACCAGTGTTACAGGATATGTGGCGTTTAATTAAATCCTCATTAATCATATCTTCACACTATTACGATTTCACTTTCCAGTAAGGAAAAGTCATTTGTATGTTTTTGAAAGTATTTCCTTTCCCTTGTCAATGTAAACAAAGGATTAGTGTTCTTCCTGGAAGACACCAATTTTCAGTATGTTTGACTCGGTTGCAAAGTGCCTTTATTGGCATAAAACTGCGTAAGTACTGTCAGAGGTTTAAGACTGACTTTTAGGACCTGAGGAGCTAGCTGCCTGCAAGTATAGTTGGGTTTAAGTGGTTGGAGAGGTAAACCGACTTCAATTCTTTAAAAAGAAATCTCAAATTTTAATTGGAGCCTGTTCGCTCTGTAGTGAACGGACTACAATTTTGTAAAAAAAAAATCAAGTTTCAATTAGGGCTCATTCGCTTTGATGTGTTGCGTTAATACACATGTGTTGCAATAAGGCAGCCCATTGATTTCTCTCGACCAGAATGCATGAATAAAAACAGACGATCACTCACCATAGCAGATGGTAGAGCAATACCATGCACTGCAGTCTGCTGCAAGGAAGGTATGTTGGGGTGCCATTAAGAATGAATGGCACTGCATCACACCTATGTGTGTTACCGAACTGCACCATTGTGGAAGCCAAGGACTTTTAAGGGACTCCATATTGCAAAATGTTGTGTAACAACTTCAGGGAGAGTCTACGGCCATTTATCAATTTATCAGAAAAGGTTGCCACCAGATAAAACATGTTTAGTGTTTCAGGAAATAATAACATTAAGAATACTTAATCATTTTGGTACTTTAAGTGGCATTGTTTTTCTTCAAGTTGTATGAAAAACTAAATCTGTGGCCATACCCCTTACCTTTTAAACTCACAAAAGCCAATAAAGCATAGGCATTTAGAAGATTATGTAGACAGGCCTGGAAAAAGTATGGTCATTGTTCTGACTTTACCAAATCAAAGTTCCCGTGTGCCCAATTTTAAAAGCCTGTCTATGAATTTGGCATCAGAATTATGGTGCACACGACACCTGTGTAAGAGTTCAGAAACGGTCTAATTATTTACCTGATCTGGTTTTCTGACCATCTAGTCCCCAGTTCCGAGAGTGAATTAATAACATATTGCATAGGTCTGTAGAGTGTATTGGCACCTATAATTTTGCTATTAACGGTTGCCCTCTCCCTCTTATACAGTGCCTTTGATTTGGTGAACATTCATCTTTTTCATGATGCTTCCAATTTAATTGCTTGGGAATCTAGCCCATCCACCTACTCAGGAATACGGCAAAAGGCTCTAAGTTATGTTTTAAATAGGTGAGTGTGCCTATTTTATACCTTTTTTTTTTTGTTTTTGTTTATTTGCTTGGTTTGTTTGTAAGCTGTTTCCTTATAGAATGTGACACAACTCCCACTAGTACATCCTCAGGAAATTGGAAAATAAGAAATCCAGAAAGCACCATTTACAGAGTTTTACTGTTCAGAAGAGTTCCTTAAGATGTAGCATATAAAGAAAGCAGAGATGTTAACAATCTTCCAGTGCTCTAACTTAATATAATTTGCTACAAGAATAATGTTTTGCGTATTGTCTGTACTACCTTGGATCTATAAAGATTTGATTGTAATATTATTAATTGTTCTTAAAACATCCCATTACTCTTACCACCTTGGTCATTTTACACCAATGGATAATGTAATATTTTCAGCCAGGATTGAAGCCCAACTTTAGCCAAAACATATTTTGTTTTGGATAAATTGGAAAGGAGTTTACAACAATGTCAGATCCCTGGTGCTTGTGGCAGCTAATTGATCAGCCGCCTTCTCGTATATAAATCGTTGGATAGTCACTCGCACTCCAATTTCATACCAAGCCAATTCCTTTAATGACTATAGTAGTGCCGCAATCATAGCGACGTTTTGGAACCAAGTGGTTCCTTCTTCAGGCAAACATAATTCACTTTGTTTGCCTCAAGAAGGAACCACTTGGTTCCGAAACGTCGCTATGATTGTGACACTACTATAGTCATTAAAGGAATTGGCTTGGTATGAAATTGGAGTGCGAGTGACTATTCATCGATTTCATGTTACTGGCGGAGGCATCTGGGGTCACTACGGCACACACCCGACTTATGGGTTTGTTTCCGGTCAAGAGTGCGATGGGTCACATCTTGTTGTTCCCCTATATAAATTCTCAAGAACGATCTTTGCACACCCTGCTACTCCCTCGCAAAGACTAGGGAACCTTTCATTGGAATCTATTTTTAAAAAAAGCACAGAACGCCCGACATGTGCAGAATCGCTTCCTGTCTGTACACAAGGGGATCGATGTACAAACAATTTGCAGGTCCCTTAATGAATATCTGTAAATGCTTATTTTGGGCAAATTATGCCAAAAACTATTGTTCTTCATATGTTTTTTCACAGTTTGTATGTAGTGTTCTAATATTACATTATGGCCACTAGAAGGCACTTTTTTCCAGTTCAAATGTAGTGTGTTGTAATATTACATTTTGGCCACTAAATAGAGCTGAGGAGCATAAGAAATAAGTATTTCTTGCACTCCTCGGCTCCATCTGTTACAACACCACATCGAACTGGTTAAAAAACATATTAATAACATTGGCTTTTGGCATTGTTCACCAAAAATGAACATTCACAGATATTCGTAGGGCCCTGCAAAGTGTTTATAAATAAACTCTCTCTAACGCAAACCAAACATATAAGAGTAAGAACTTCTGACAGTTTTTTAATTGCTTTTTGTGCCTTCCAGTTCCATCCACTTGTACAGGCATCACAAAGACAGGAAATGAGAGAACATACGCCTGTTGTCCAGGGCACCTGCTGCCATTTTTCAGCGGCCTTGTGGCCAAAGAGCCATACCTCCGACGTGGAAACAAGGCTAAGCAACTCAATTATGTATCAAAACATAGGGTGGAGAAAAATGGCAGCAGGTGCTCTGGACTGATGAGTAAAATAGGCAGCTTGTTCCCCGAAGGGCTGGAGAATGGTACAATAGTGAGTGTCTGCTGCAACAGTGAAGCATGGTGGAGGTTCCTTGCACGTCTGGGGCTGCATTTCTCCCAATGGAGTTGGAGAGTTGGTCAGGATCAATGGTGTCCTCCATGCTGATAAATACAAGCAGATACTTATCCATCATGCCATACCAGGCGGGGGGGGTGTAAGAAGTGGGTGCACAAGATCAGAGCAGTGGGAGGTGGGTAGAGGTATGGCCCTTACACATCTCCCCGCCCACTTCTTAGCAACCTGGGGCGCTTCGGCCGGAAAGGGGGCGGCAGGCACACTGCACACATTGTGCAGAGGTGTGACCAGTATACAACAAACATGCTTCAGTGCCTGCTGGTCTCCCACGTCACCCAAAGAGATGCCGTCTTAGGCATCAGCCTCATTCTGCCTCATTATAGGGACAGCCCTGGCTGTAGGTTACCCTCTCGGCAAAATACAATAAAAATGTTGTCAAATGCATTATACTTAGGGCTGATCTTCATCCAAGATAGTTGACTTCACAAGAAAATCTTCTTTATTCATTTGAAACCTTTTTAAAGTGCACTGAAAATGTGTAATTTTTTTATTTATTTTTGTTCGATTATGTGAGGAAAATCTAGTGACTTGGTCAAGCCGAAGATGTTATATTCACTCGGCCTGAATCTTTTGGACAATAACCGAGACAAATGTCTTTCCTTCTGCTGTGCCTTTGTCATTATCTGTGCTGTGTTATACACAGGGTCTCCCACCATGGCTGCTTATCCTATTCACACCATGCATGCCACTCTGACACTGCACTTTTTTCTTAGTATTTGTTTTAAACAAAAGTTGCCTGTTGAACACGTCCACCCTCAACCCATCCCCCCCCCCCCCCCCCCCCCCCCACCCCTCCTACAGAACCCTGCTGT